CGTGCTCAGCGAGTGGGTTTTTTGAAGCTTCTTTTCAAAAGCCGTGAAATAGAAGTCCCCTTGAATTACACGTAACTATGTACAGTTTCTTTGTCCAGTTCACTTGCTACCCTCTCGATGACGATGAATCGCTACTCTCGGTTATCCCTCTCGTAAACATAGTGTTCCCACATACTTGATGTTATTGCATGGCGTCTTGCATTTGCTCTATCCGTTTCAGTTTGAGTGACTGCGAGAACTCGACGGCCTGGAACGACAGCGATGTTGTTCGTAAGGAATGGATGGTTATCCACGTCGTACTCGTCGTCTTCATCAAGGAAGTTCATCGGCTCATGAATGCGAAGGAAGTTGTGCAGAGCGGCAGCAGCACAGACGATCTTGGACTGTACTGTATAATTGTATTCAGGCCGAGATGTGAGAATGCGGAAGCGACGCTTCAGAACACCAAACACTCGTTCCACAACATTTCGTAGTTTGGCGTGTCGAAGATTGAAAAGCTCCTCCGCCGTCTCGGGTGCTCGTCCGCCTCGTTTCCATTCGCTGAGATGATATCGTACACCAAGATATGGAGTCATGATCATATCGCAATTGGGGAAGCCTGCATCACCGAGGTAGTAACGATGCCTAGGAAGACAAAAGCCGTTCCGACGCGCTGTATCAAATAATCGGCCATCTGCAGCGGTTCCCTCATAGCCGGGCATGTTGTATACAAAGCGCATGTCAAAGTCACAAGCAGACAGGACATTTTGTGAGACTTCTCCATGGCGGTCACGGTAGCGAATGATATCATCAGCAAGAACGTATGCGGCGATGTGAACACCATCGACAGCCCCTCGGCAGTAGCGAAAGAAAGGGAAGTAGTGCGCATCATCGGCTATCTTGGCTGGTGTCTCGTCTGCTGGATCTTGGATGTATTTGGCATAGAACTCGTCAACAGCAATGTCGAGGACGCGGTTCGTATATTTGCTGATCGTATCTCCTGAGTGCTGGAATCGCTCCATGAGCTCTCTCTGGGTGCTGCCATGAACCATCCAATAGACAAAGATAGCCAGTTGCTCTTGTGACGTTATGAATCGGCCATCGACGAGACCTCCATTTGTTACCATCTCCCACCAAAGCAGACAAAAGGATGCTGGGTACATGCCAAGTTGGTTGAGGCAGCGCTGCGGATGGCCGTTGAGAAGCTCGTCTAGCCACCGCTGGCCTGTCAAGATGGAGGTATGCATGGGAATGGGTTCTAGGCTTCGAAGGAGCGTGTTGCCGAAAAAGATGGTCGCAATAACGGCGGCATGGACGGCATGGCGGCGGCGGTGTATGGCTTGCAGAATGGATGTAGTTTCCTGGGAAGCTGTACGTGCAGGGTGGGCAAGAGGCATGGCCATAGACGATATATTGGAGGCGGTCGACTACGGTAACAATATGTGACCTATCGTGACGATTTCAGGCGCACGTGCGGATTCAGGCGAAATTCCGTGCACCCGATCAGGCCCTTAATTAAATAAGACTGATTGAAATCTGTGACAGTCGCTCACGTGCTCTGGCGGAACGCCGCGCAACGAGTCGCACCACACCAGTGCCACCCACACCACAGCGTGCCCTTCATGTTACGACTAGTATGGTCTCAGCTCCCTCTCAAATCCACAACAGACATTGCTGTGGATGCTCTCAGGCGCTCCTCTAACAGCGCAGCTGTCGTTGGCAAACAACTCTTCATCTTTGGTGGAGAGCGAGTTCCTCGTGTTCCCGTCGATAATGAGCTCTGGGTAGTAGGACTCGACGGTACGCCAGTGCACCGCTCGTCGCTATCCGAGTTGGAACTTACCTTTTCCTTGAGATGGGGCCGTCACACCTGCGCCCACCTCGTCCCTTCGCCCCTCAGCCCGTGTCGGGGCATCCCTGTCTTATCATCCGGGGATGTCCGCCTTGTACTTGTGGGGCGGGCGCGAATCCAGAGATATGACGCCGTGCGACACTGTGCTGTGGAAGTATAGCTTGAGCTCGGGTAAATGGGAGCAATCCGCAACCGCGGACAAGGAGAATGTGGCACAAGAAGACAAGGTCGCGCCCAGAAGTTACCACGCCATGTGCACCGTAGGGAACGATCTGTACTGTAAGCTCAGCGCCCGCCCTTTTAACCCTCAAATAATTCACCGAAAACCGTCAGTACACGCGGGCTGCCCAGCCGAAGGCCGCCTGGCGACGCTCCACTCGCTGTCCCTCGCCTCCGCGCAGACATGGTCGACACTCCCCGGCGGCCCAGGCCCGGGCCGCGGTGGCACCGTGCTGACCCCCATCATCGCTCCCGGCGGCGACCCGCTCCTCGTGCGCTACGGCGGCTTCGCGGGGCACGAGCTCGGCGGGCGCCTCGACGTCTTCAACCCTGCCCGCGGCACGTGGAGCTCCGTCGCAATGCCGGGGGAGGAGGGCCGCGCGGGGCACCCCCTGGCGCGCAGCGTGCATGCGCTCGTGCCCGTGCGGCCGCCGGTGGCGCTCCCTGCATCCGCCGGCCATGACCATGGCCATGTCGTCGCGGTGCTGCTCTTCGGCGAGCGCGGGCCTGCGCCCGCGCACCTCGGGCACCTTGGTGCGGGGACGTTCCACCGTGACGCGTGGGCGCTGGTGTGCACGCCGGCTGAGGCCGGTGAGCACTTCGCGTTCGTTGAGCTTGTGCAGGAAGAGAGTATGAAGGGTGGAGGGACACCTCCGGCGCGAGGGTGGTTTGCAGCGGACTGGATGCTGGACGGCGGTGGTGCGGTCGTGGTACACGGCGGTCTGGATGACGAAAATAACCGGTTGGGAGATGTCTGGCTCGGGAAGTTGGAGATTCGAGAGTGAGTGGGTGTCGTTCAAACTAAAACGCTTGTATCTACATCTCTGTAAAATTACGCATGTCCGTCTGAAGCTCTATCTTCATAATGTGGCCAGAGGTCATCTATCGAGATTCCGTGAGTTATGGAACATGTTCTAATGCCGGGATGCCGTGCGAGGCCGCGGCTAGGCAAAGACATTTGCTCTGCGGCACAGCTGCGGCAAGTCTAGCACCTCCATTTAACTACAGGCTCTCAACGCTCTCATTGCAGCTCGAAGCAGTTCGGAAATGAATTTCATACGCAGCTCCGCATCCACAGGATCGACGTTAAAATTCCGCATATGTAGCAGTACCAAGAACGCAGCTCCTGTGAGTTTAAATATCGCACCACAGCGTGGATTAGCCAGCTCCTTTCCTTTCCATTACGCCACTCACTCACCCTACATCGTCGTCATCGGCACTTTGTGCGCCGGATTCGCTCCGATCCGCCGTGTGCGGCGCGATGGTGGTCCGCGTATAAGTACTGTTACTGTAGTGTTCTGCACTTGAACCCACGTCTGCGCGCGTCCACCGCGACATCAGTGGCATGCGACTCATCAACGATAACGCTACCCCGCCCCTGCGCATGCGCATGCTCTCCGTTGCACTTGCACTCGCACTCGCCGCCGTGCACGCCCCCTGCGCCGCCGGCGCAGGCGGCCCCGTCATGCTAGCCCCGGCCCCGGGGTGCGCGCGCAAAGCCGAGCACTGCGGCGTCCTCCACGACCGCGTGGTCTACCAGTACCGCGCGTGCTGCGCCGGCTCCGGCGCGTGCACGCCTAGCGCGTCCGCGCACCTCGCGTCTGCGGCGGCGGCGGCGGTGGATGTGGTGCGTCTCGTCTCGTCTCCTGCGGCCGCCCTGCCCGCGCTAATCTCGCGTCTTCCCACCAGCGGTGTGCGCTGGCAGTGGGCGAACTTGAATGACCTGGAGGCCGACGTGGTGGGACCGGACTCGGAGGACTGCACCGGCACGGTGCGCAATGACGCGACATGCTGGGGTGTTCGCCATATAGAAAATACGTACATAGTGATGGTCTGGCATGCGTGGTACGTTCGCTATATCACACCATAGTAGAAAATGCGTACATAGGAATAAGCCGCCATGCTTAAGCTTGACGTATGGTGGCCAGCCTCCGAAGCACGCTGCGCCTGCCCGCGCATATATATCTCGCATCCCGCAAAAGTGGTACTCGCGTACACGTACAGCACGTAAGTGACGGAATGAGGAATCTGTTCGAGCACACGATGCGGAATGGAAGGATCGCAGCATGTTCGCGGGTGTCACTGATGCCTCCGGCGTGGATGGCCGTGTGGCCTCGGGGGTGTTTGACACAGATGTAGAGTCAGACGAAGCGCCGCTTGCGTGCTTTCAAATAGAGTTTTGCCCCGGCGTTCCTCAGCGGGACCGGCCGTGTAATTCTACCCACCTACCTACCCCCGCCGAACTTGAAGACGGCCTCCGTGCCGTTGCGCGCGCCGGTGAGTATCTTCGCGTCCTTGATGAGAGTCGGCCGCGTCCCGTGGATGAAGGGGTTAGAGCTTGCTGTCCGGCGCGCGGCGATAAAGTCGGAGGGTCCAGCGGTATCCTCAGTGCGCGACATTGTGGGGGGATCGCGTGCGCGGTGCGGCGCGGCATGGAAAAGAATGCAAGGTGGCTGCTGAGAAGAACAAGAGATGCGGCGATGAGGAGACCTCTGCGCCCCAGCCTTGCCCTCTTTTATTAATAAGAGAGCATTTCGTTCGGGATTGGGAAAATGTCTACGTGACCTGGGAATAAAGTAAATACATGCTGTTCAAGTTCCACAGACTTTGACGACTTGAGAACAAATACACACTGGCAACTGAAGCAATCGTTGATCGTTGAGGCCCACGGGAGCATTGAAGGAAAACAACCAGAATCCGCTCCAATGTACCCACGCCTTGATACTATGTTGCGCGCAGACATTTACAGTGCAGGTCAAGTCGAGAAGTGTTACTATGGGTTTACAACGCATCGCCTCTGACGCAATACAGATGCCCCAGCAGCTCTCGCTATTCACGACAAACACGCCATATGTGCGCGTCAGTGCCAGTGCCTTGCGCAAGGCACACTCCATCAAGATCAAGATCACCGCCTCTCTGTTGGAGATGTGAATCCAACAGTCCATTGAACGGACACGTAGCTCAGTTGGTAGAGCCCCGTGCATGAATCCGGGAGGTCCTAGGTTCAATCCCTGGCGTGACCACTCTTTTATTCGTCATCAGATTCGCAGTCAGAATGTCGATATTAGGGGCTAATGGTCATTAGGGGTTCTGGAGTCAATTGGATGTTGGCTTCAGGGGGAATGTTGGAGATGTGAATCCAACAGTCCATTGAACGGACACGTAGCTCAGTTGGTAGAGCCCCGTGCATGAATCCGGGAGGTCCACCACTCTTTTATTCGTCATCACTCTCCTCCGCGCTACAACATTCTCCGCTCGCGTCCACAGATCCGGGAGGCCCGCCGCACCAGCGTTCCAGTCGGCCCAGTAGTCCGAGTACACGCTGACGACAAGCCGCACATCGCGCACTGGCGTGTTCGCGGCCATACCAGTCGCGCTGTCAATGTACGATCTCCCCCAGAGGACAACCAACAGCTCCAGGCGGACGCAGTCCGTGAGCAGCAACTCTGGTGTACATGTCGTGGGCGACGCGACACTGTACAGGCACAGATGCGTAAGCGCGGGCAGTGTGGGCAGCTTAGCGTAGATGTGCTCCTTGACGCTCGAGAAGCAGTCGCCGATAGTAAGGTGGGTTATTTTCGAAAAGAGAGGGTGCGTGAAATCGATTGCTTCGAAGCTACCGAACAGATCCGCGAGACACACCACGAGGCGCTGGATGCGCATGGTTGCAAGAACGGGGAGCATTGCAGGAGTATAAAAACGAGCATTTGCAGCAAAATTGGTTACACCCTTGCAAAGTTTGAGAACGTTCCTCGCTTCGTCCACGGACCAGTCACACCAATTGTCGAAACATAGGGCACGAACGGAATCGGCGAAGAATGAGGGTGGCTTTTTCTTCGTGGCTTCCAAAAATGCCGCCGCCCGCCGGCAAAATTTGTTCACGCGCATAACTCTGTAAAGCAAAGGCTCGATCCTGACACAGCATATCAGAGACACAATGTCGTGAACGGTCGTGCGACAGACCAGATAAGGACCCGGCGGGCGACGCGTAGAAGGACTGGCGCTATTTTGGGATGCCGTATGGCTGATATTTCGAAGATCTCGCGTTCCAATTCAATGGGAAGAAATGGTTCGCTGGCCATGATCATGGCAAGAGACAAGAGCAGTGTGTGGCTGTGTACGACACCTGACCTATGCAACTTCTTAGAAACACGCCGTTCATAAGTAATACTTCATATGCATATGTACGTGGCAGCGCCGGTGCTTTGCTAATGCACAAAGCACCGTGACACTGGAATATCACCCATCAATATCGCCGTCTCTCCTCTGTGCTCTCCCTTGGCTCTCCTCTGCACTACCATATTCTTGCCATATTCTGTACTCGCGTCCAGAAATTCAGTCGGTCCAATAGTCTCGATGCATGGGGATAACAAGCCGCACATCGCGCAATGGCATGTCCGCTGCCATATGAATCGCGCTTTCAATGCATGATTGTCAATGTGGCCAGAGGACGACCATGGCAGCGGGCGCAGTTCGTGAGCAGCTTCTCCACTGGCAGTTTTGTGGCTGACACATCCATGGTCAGGCACACTTGTAGGTAAGCCGATGCTTCGCACGGCAGGCACTCGTACTTCTCTTTTTTTTTTCGTGTCACAAGTACAAATCAATCCAATCGGCAAGGATACATCTTTAACAAATAAAAAAAATAAAAGAGTAGTACAAATTAATCCAACTCCACATCCAAGTTGGTGTCGAAACGGATCGCCCACGACGTATCTATAGTTCGATCAAAATTAAACTGGGTTCTGGTAAAAAGTGAACCTACCCGATTCAATGGCAGGGTCGTAGACAGGTATGGTTCGGATAAACGAACCGACAGAAGGGCTGGTAGACAAACCAGCGGGCGCGCCAATGCACCACACTACTGCCTCTTTAGGCTGTTTCGCTCCGTCTGCGGCGCCCCAAACACGGTCGCGAAGTAAGAAAGTCTGGCAGTCAGCGTCAAGCGTGGATCGCAAGGATGTGTAGTAGCACAGAGGCAGCGCATTCGGATCGTGAAAACGGCAAATCTCATAACCGTGTTTCTTCGTGTTCTTCCCGAGGCTTTTCAACTCTTTGACCTCAACTGGTTCCGACTGGGGAAGATACGAACAGTTGGCAATGCACTTATTCGCAAACGTCAGCTGCGCGTAAGGAACAACGAGAGAACGGCCATCGAAGTAGACGAATTGAGCAGACAGTGGCTGACGTAAGATGGTAGTGCCTCCTTCCTTTGCGATTGCACTGATTTTCATCTTCGCAAACTTGGCTCACGTGCCGAACACGTGTCACGGTGGGGTACCTGCGTACTAGTAGTCAGCTGGCGGACGGGGGAGGCGCGCACTGGCAGCGACGCACCACGTGTTGTAGACCTAGCCGGCATCGAGCTGCACCTCCACGATCTGGCGGCCCTGGATGTCGGTGTTGCCGCAGTCAGTCAGTCGGTCGGAAACGACAGGGAAGACCGGGTCGCAGACGACGCGGACGACGCACCGCATAATGGATGCCGTAATCTGCCACCGACGGCTTGTGGCTCTTTGATTTGACACAAATAAATTATGGCCTTGCGCACAGCCAGCAGTGCAACAGCAACGGATGGAGAAGGCGGGGCCACAAGAGTTGATACTACTGGTTCGATAAGTTGCGTGGGGACACACCTGAATTTTTTTGAGATTTTAGCAATTTTTTTGGGACAGAATGTTACCAACGTCGTTGACGACAGTGGGCGGGAGGATCGCGAACGGTTGACAGCGGGCGGGAGGATCGCGAAGCCGATCGGTTTGCGGTCGTGGCAGGCGTGACAGGTGATGTTGATGGCAACGCCAAGCAAATCATCAACACGTGAGACACCTGCCCACAGCCACTAACAGAGTTACGAAAAGTGAAAGGTCGTTAATTGGGGCCATTAGATCGGCTAACCTTAACCCCATGGTTTTCCGTACATTTTGAGGTGCGAACTGATAAAAAGATTCACAAACCAAAACTTGTTTTGGAATGCTTTGTGTCTTACCGTGGTCAGGAATGTCGCCAAAACGGATTATGTAACTACACAGACACGTGCTCTCCTAACACGTGTGATTGATCTAGGGTCCAGCAACCAATGGCAAAAAGGGGGCGCCCCTTTCTGTCCAAGAGACCATTCGCTCGGCTGCGATTACAAGCGGCATCACTGCCGTCGGACGACTCGGGTGGTAGTGTATGCCGAACACTGTCCTATAACTCAACTTACATCATATTTATATTCACAAACCAAAACTTGTTACAGAGCACGATAAGATACGCTCTGTACAAACGGCTTATGCAAATCCACGGCACCTTCAAACTCCGACACCTCCAATCCGGGCACCTTATGTCGCCATCGGTTGGGGGCGGGTAGTGCTGAAAATTCACCAAAAAATTAAGATGAATATTTATATTTTATCTGGCATCGCCGCCATGTTGCGCGCCCCGCCGTGTGCGTAGCGCGGGGGTAATAGTCAATCAGGTCTGTCAGCCCGGGCGGCGCCGTCGATGTCATGAGAAAGAGCTCAAAGATCACGGAAAATATGAGCATTTGCATTTATTTTCCACTTATTTTTGGCACGCACCTCCGGCACCTATCGGATCGCGATGGTTGACGCCGGATACATCACCGAGCCGAGCCGGAAAGACAATTGATAGAGTAGTGATTTCTACAATGAAATTGGCTCAGCCAAAAATCGAAAAAAGTTACTAGCCACTGATAATATACTCGAGTATAAGTATTGATATATTCCTGTAGGTGCGGTGGTCCCACGTGTTCTGTATAGAGATTGCGAAATTTAAGGCCAGGGTTTTAATTGGGACCACATCTATTCGGTTTTTAAACTTGGTTTGTGCCTCGCCGCTTGCCGGCCATCCCACCCGTCATTGAGCTCTGAAAACCACTGTGGAAAGATTACATAAACGAGTAACTTATTACATAAGTACTCGTAATCCATTGTCAGGCACTTGGTCAGGCACAGTGTCGATGCCGTCCACGCTCCTCAGCCAGGGACTTCGGAAGTATAGGCACTTTGACCGAGTTGTCGTCGCTCGCACCTGGTTTTCTTTCCGTCAACAGCGGGCGACGCGAGATGCAATGTCACGTACCGGCCAGTCCAGGCATCGAGTAGCGGCGACCCCAAGTGCGAGTGCGCATCAACAAGGGGGTTATCCATCTCCCCGCGGCGTCAATGACGACGAGGTCGTCGGGGAGATAAAAGTGGGCAGGAATGTACCCGACAGCGGCGATGAGGTCCTTGTCGAGCTGCACGTCGTCGCTTCCACGACGCGGTTCAGCTTTATATTGGCTGGCAGCCACGGTTAAACTTTGACACCCCGCTCCTCCCCGCATGCGCAAATGCATGTCATGCAACAACTTGAACGTACTTGCCTGGCAAATCCGACGCAGAGGACTTAGTAGACTGCACTGTCACCGTGCGCAGGAACGCGACATGGGTGTTTGCGTGCTATCACCTGCCAGTGCTATCACACCATGGTAGAAATTACGTACAGATCCAGAGTAAGCGCCGCTTGCGTGCTTTCAAATTGAGTTTTTTCCCGTCGCTTCCACGACGCGGTTCAGCTTCTTCTTGACTGGCAGATGGTCAAACTTTGACACCGCGCATGCGCTTGTCATGCTACGTTCTTGCCTGGCAAATCCAGCGTTGAAGATTTGCTGGAAGAATATAATAACAACGTTGGCGGCACTGGTGCTGTTCTCCGACTCGGATGCGACGCCGTGGACCCGGGTTAATCACGAACGCATCTTCACATTGCAGCTAGCGTGAATCACCCCCGCGCTGTCGGGCGATTCACATATGCGTGCATGGCGCCGCTCCACTTGCTGCTGAAAACTTTTGCATGATTTCATTTGCCGCCCGCCGCCTGCACCCCGTTCAAGTTGGTTCAAAGTTGGTTGCCAATGCGGACATAGTACAGTCAAGTTAAATATCACTTTCGGTGTTGCGGCGGGACCTCTCGTCACCCACAGAAGGCGCCAGCCACTGCGGCTTCCTGGAGTGGGTACGTCATGACGTCCACG